TTTCGTTAAATTAAATCTATCGACAAAAACAACAACAACAACAATAAACATTTTTATTATCATCGTTAAAATAATATTAAATAACATTCACACCCTATAATACACGGCACGTCTCTCCGCCTCCCGGCTGGAGTCATAGCCATTATACCTATAGCTGGTTTATACGAAATAATAATAATATAAAATTTAAGTGGTTTCTTTTTTTCTCCACTACATAATTTATCGATCTATCGTTTGTTGACGATAAATCGGACACGGGAAAACGAAATTTACCGAGAAATATTTTTCGTACATTACCTATATTTTGTACATAGGACCACGACGACGACGACCGGCGCCGCGGTGGCAGTGTTCGACGTCGAGCGGCAGTCTTCTTCTCCCCGGTCACCGGTGTGCAGCGCGGGCCCGCCAGCCACACGGTTGTAATAATCGCTCCGCGGCCGTCGGACGCAGAGCACCTGTCAATTCCGCCACCGCCGCCGCTTAATGTTATCATATTTTGTCAAAAAAAATTAACGTTACCTGCGAACAAACATATATATTTTTACATATTCTACGTGACAACATCTAACACGAGCGATCGCCACGGCGCAATAATTATACGTATCGTGTGATCTATATTAACGGAACGATCAATCGATCGATCGATATAAAAAAAAGAAAAAAACAATCGTGAGTACCGAAATATATATATATGTAATATAATATTTAATATAGTGTATATGTCATAATTCATTCGAAATAAAAAGTATGGAATATGCATAATATTGTCTCGTTGAAAATTGTGTTTTGGGAGCTGAGAGTTTCTAAGCTTTTGGCCGAACCACGTAATATATAGGTACCTACCTATTTCATTACTTGGTTTGTACTAGAGCGTTCGATATTTTTATTTAATATTAATGTTATGCTTGTCACTATATAACCGATAGGCACATTGATATAATTATATAATATCATAGTATAACTATAAGTGTACCTAAAATAAGATATTACCTAATACTTATTGCAAATAATAATTTATTTTCACATACGCTGTACAATGTACATGATACTTATTTTTAAAAATGTGTTAGGATCAGAATATTTTTTTCTGAATAATTCAATTTAAAATTTATATTTAAAATATTTCCATGATTTTCCGAATTTAGCATTATTTTTCTTATAGATCGCGTTTAAAAATAATAACAATATGAACAGAAAATTTTTTTTCACACTGTTTCTATTGTTAGATAATACTATAATATATACATTATTCTTATGTAAATTTTTTTTTATTAAAATATAATTCATATTAAAAAAATGTATATTTATTTTTTATTGTTATTATTACTTATTTTTATACACGAGGGAAGGTTCTTGACCTGAAAAATATTTGTCCAATTCCATCAGGTTTCCATGTCCAATACTTAACCACCGGAAAATTACAGGTTTTAGCTTTTATTTAATTTTTAGACCATCAATATTTATGTAAGTAAATACGTTTTTTACAGTTGTATAGTTATTAATCCAAAAGAGTTTTCGTGGATACCCGTTACTAATTTATTCGATTTTTTTGTCACTTAATTATAATATAAAACACGAGTAAACGTACACGGCGTGGCGTGGACAGTTGCACGATAAAATATACGATAGACAGTAAAGTAGAGTAGACACCTAAAAAACCTGCATGACATGACGATTAAAATGTATTGGCTGAAAAATGTGGATATCTTGTATGAAAATGCGTTGTAAACCAGACGGGTGCGGAGTTTTTAAATAAGCGAATTTAAAAGTAAAGTAACGGAAACCCTTTGGACATAAATATATTATACTTGCGGTGGCCCGTTATAAATTAATATTATTGTAATACACGAATACTTACTTCGATGTCGATGAACTGCAAAACAGTTTATGAAATTAAAACTAAAAAAAATCCTTAGGTACAGATTTTCTAGGGATAATCGAAACATTACAATCTTCGATATAATATAACGAATAGCGGATACGGCATAAATATATAAAATATGTATTAAATACTATTAAAATCACTGAAATCTATTTCAATTCGTTATCTACTGCACTTATGCCTTGATTGGATATGTCATATAGTACCTACTATACCTATTTATAATAATTAATAACTAATAATATTACAACATTATTTATACATTTTATCATCATAATTTACTTTTGAGTGATATTTCTACTAATTTCTTATTGGTTATTGCCGCTTACGTATTATAATTTAATAATTACATACATCTAGGTATATAAAAAATATATGTAGGTAATAGGTAGTTTTACGGAAAAATATTATTTAAAAAACTTTGTATGAATCAATACTGCGATACAAAAGTATCACCACACTGTACACAACAATAATACGTATAGCGAGATTAAGTATATACTTCGATCGACAACTAATTGGACAATTTCTCGTAGGTACTACTACAGCGAGATTAGAAAATGTAAGTAAAAAATTCTTCTTTTATGTTGTATATACCTCTGGTTTTATTCATCATGATAAATTCTTATATTTCATCGGAATGTGGGTTTCAATAATAGTAAAAAGTAATCTAGTTATCCCAAGCAAAACTTAAGAATAGAAACCGGATAAGGAAGAAAGTGATTGTGGAAATACACGCATTTCTCGAGTAAAATGTATATTTTTATATTTATATTAAATATTTATCTTCGAGGACATAATTCTACTAAAACTCATTATTATTATAAAAATTCGAAATCTTCAACACACAAACTTGTTTTGTAATTTGTAATTTTTGAAATAGGAAAAATAATAAGACACGTCATAATACATAATACTTCCGCAGCAACCGTTGTCGATACTTTAAAGTAGAAAATAAAAGATAAACAATAGATAGAATACAAAATTAAATGCACATAGGTACTTTAGAAATATTTTAGGTAGGTACATCGTACATAATAATGATCTTAAATCTTAATATTAGATACTATGAAGTATGAGTATGCAGCATTTGCGATTTTGCGTTGCTACGATTTCACCATTGGTTTTAGGATAAAATGATATCCATTGAAATCTTAACGCTTGCTGCGTTGAAAAAAAAAAGAGAAAAAACGATTTAAAAAGTCGATTATTACTATGCTAGTATAGTCGTAACGACAACACAATACATCTCCACCAAGAAAAACAACAACAATAGTCAATAATGCATATGTCAAAACTGACAAAACTCGAACCTGCAGTGCAGCGTTTCGGGATACCATTCGTCAAAACAGTTTCGCGGTTCGCGTACCTACCCCGCTCTTCCGTACAAGACTTAAACGCTCGCAAAGATGTAAATATCTATGTAATACGCATATACGAGAGGGACTTTCGTTTGAAATTGAAAAAAAAAATCAATCTATTTTAAATACGTATAATATAATAATAATATAGTGACATGATTTTAATTGGTTTCGGTTGGGTCGTAAAAAAGTGGGCCAAAAAAAAAGTGTAGTTCAATAGACGCGTATTGAGGACAATAATAAATTGATGTATATAGGCTGGTAGGTAGGTTGGTAGGTAGGTATTAAGTATATTACATAGGTAGGTAGTGCGTTTGGTTAGTGGAATGAATATGTTATCGACTTATCGCCACGCGTAGGTAAATTGTATACTGTATATATTATGTATAAAATGTGCATGAATAATATAACTAACTACCTGTACACGTATATATACGCATATACATTATTTGATATATTATAATACGTCGTGTACCCTGGTTATTAATAATCCGTAACCCTAACCTACACACGTCGTTTCGTTCCGATTCTAACCGTACATACTAAAATAATACGATATGAATGTATGATGATGTATATATTATTATACATACACACTCACCACACACATCTCCACTGCATTTCCGTGTAACAGGTTTTTGTAGCACACTCGTTATGTCGGGGCGCCTACCTATATAGTAAATAATATAGTACCTATATTGTAGACGCCGTTTCGGATTGCTGGTCGTTCGCGGACACCGCGACGACCGAACTAAATCATAAGACATAACAATAAATAATAATTTTTTAATATCATTGATATTGAGTAGAAATAATTTCCAATTTCTAATTATTATAAACAATGAATAAGCGCATGTTGTGTTTTATTCGTCCTGGGACGATTTTACAGAAATAATTGCATGATCTGATGTTTTCTTACGCACCAACGAGTAACGGTATAATTATTAAACAAGCGACCACACGCTGAAATATACACACACGTTTAAGTAGGTACACTAAATCACGATACATAGGTAGGTACTCTGTAATTTGATCAACGGTCTGTAAACACGAAAGAGTATACTAAAAATCAAATTACTATGGCCGTCTATAGTTATTATATTATAATATTTAGATGTAATACAATATCATCGATGGTGCTACTCCGCAGGCAAAATGTAAAATAGATTATTAGATTAACATATTTTATTTTTAGACAACAGCACACGCACGCACTATAACAAAATAACAGTACTTACATGTTAAACACGTATATAGGTATGTATATAAAATTAACATACATTGTACATGGAGATAGGTAAGGTTACTGGGTGAAAAAAATGTATTGTACGAAGTGAAATTATGTTTATTCCTAGATATTTTCTGTGCCATTTAGATATGCTAACGAGTACTCTTTTATTGTCATTGGTATTCAAAAAGAAAGTTGTGACAACATATGTATACTATTAGGTATATATTATTATGTACGCACGGCACATATTATATGGGTAGACGAATGCGCGTTCTCTTTATGGTCAAGGTCGTGCGTGATTGACGGTCACGTCGTTTCTTCAAACGCTTTGTTGTGGGATTAAAAAATAATAATGATAGTAAATTAATAAATGAACAGAGGGTACCAATCTTCCTGCCGAAAAACCTACATATATTATATATTTATATCTAATCTGAAATATTTTTTTTTTAAATCCAGCAGTTTAACTGATTTTTTCTGTTTCAAAGAAAATATTTATGTACTGTCTCCGTTTCAGGCTCAAATGGAAGGGTGGCGGCATCTGAAGTTGATGTGCGGTGTCTCAGCGTTATTGTTCGCCGCATGTTCAGCTCGGCCGCAGGATCCCACCGCCGTTGCGGCCACCGTCAAAGAAGTGCCGCAGAGACCCATGACCCTGACCAATGGCTACCACCCATCATCGTTCCCATTCAACAACGGCGAACCATTCGTCGTTGATCCTAACATGGGTTCCATAGACTTCAATACTAGACCACCCCCGAGCGCGGCGCAGAGGTCTGATGACTACTACGATTACGACACTACAAAGTTAGAGGAGGTGCCGTTTGATTACAAGGGCGATCCGATCGACAGAAAGGACGTGGCAGGCCCCGGTCTGCTGCCTAGACCCAACGACATTGCGCCTACAAAGAACAAGCAGACGGACATCTATCAGTTCTTGAATCTGCCCGTCAAGTACAGTTCTAGTGACCGGTTTCCACTTATGTCCAGTTCGTATGCCAACACAAAAATCCAAGGATCCGGTGGGTCGTCGCCATCGTCGCCACTCAGCAATCACAAAATGCCATCCGCTCCGACCCAGATGCCGACGGCTGCAACTTCGCCAACCACCACTGTCTCGTCTTGGTACAACACTATCAAGTTGACTACAGTCAGGCCCACCACTGCCCCAACTCCAGCCCCGACAACTACTACGACCACGACCACGACCCCGGTCCCGCAGCAAGAGGAATATGAATACGATTACGATTACCCTCATGCGCAAGAACCTGTGTCACACCAAGATACCACAACCGCGCAGGCGGCTACCACTACTACTACGACCACCACCACTACCTCAACCACCACTGCCGCTGCCTCCATGAGTCCGACGACAGTCGTTCACCGTACCAATCCGCCGCCACCGTCATCGACCTCCTTTATCACGCCCGAACCATCCACTGCTGCAGTTACTGTACCGTCGTCCACGACTACTACAACAACATCAGCTCCGGTTACCCCGTCAGTCTTCAATAGAACCACAAGTTCGGTGCAGGTTACCACTGTCAGACCAGAGATCGACTCCAAACTGGATGGAACGTCATTTGCTGACTACGATGACGCGATCAAACCAGCGGAGAAACCGCATCAGCCGGAGACGTACGGTCAAAACTTCAAACCCCTACACGGAAACTACCAGTTCGACGACAAACCGTATCCTTTGATCACCAACAGCAAAGTGCCTATGACGTTCACCGCTCACGTATCGTCTGGTATATCGTTAAACAACCAAAAGGAACACTCGTTGAATATCAAACCATCTCCAGCTCCAGTGTCGGAACCAGTATACTCATCTAGGCCTCTGCGCCCGGAAAATATACCTGATACAATTAAGCCCGAGGAAACTGCTGTGTATGACAATTCGAGAGTGAAGTTCAACAGTGGTAAGCCTGATCCACCAATAAGCCCAGAACTGCCACCGATGTATTCAAAACCCAAACCACCAAAGCCGAACGGAAGTCCTGATCAGTTTGAGACAGTTTACTACAAAGTCAGACCGGATACTTATAACGCACCACAGTTTCCTAGCACGGTTTCAAACCGACCTACGAATCCTTTAATCCAAAGTCGACCTTATCAGCCAGAGCCGCCAGTAATAAAAACTTTCCAGCCGGATATACCTAGAAAACCGGTGAACACAGAGCTTCAAATGTCACAAGGACGACCGCCACCATATCCGGTACAAACGGATGAGTATGTCAAAAATAAACCTCAATACACACCTCCGCAGAGCCAACCCGATACATCAAAGTTTAAACCTCCTAAACACGTAATAAACCATTTCATAAAAACTCAGCCGAATGAGGATAATAAAAGCTACGCACTTCAAACTTCTTTTTCGATTGGTATGGACGGAGAACGGACAGATACACGGCCAGCACAAGGTATCGGCCAAGTTTTAATGGTCGAAGACGGCTCTTCTGAAACCGTTGTAAACCACACGATACCGGTAAAGACCAAATCGACTACATCGATTCCACTTGTTCCTCCGCCAAGACCAATCCAAAAACCACAACCATATCCAAGGCCTCAATGGGAGAACGTACCAAAACCTCCTGTATATCACCCACCTCCGAAACGCGATGGCGCCATACCTCCACCACAAAGACCAAATTTACCCAATATTTTACCTCAATTCAGACCAAACGCCAGAGTCGATACACCGCCAACGGTACCTCAATCTCACTCAGCGACAATCGAAAGGGTTCAAATTCCAATAGATCATTTAAGACCTCCACCCCTTCCAAAACCTCAATTTTTAAAAGTAGACAGAAATGATGATAATATCGATGAAGAAATTCTAAATATACCTGAAAAGGAAACGAGAATTTTGCAAAGACCTGGACCACAACCAGCAAAAGTGACTACCTTGCAAATGATTCAACACGGAACTCCGACAAAATTACGAGATGATAATAAAGAAAATCCTGTGCATATTATTTATGCGGCAAACACTCCACCAAAACAATCTGAAAAATTAATAGATGACTCAGTAATGCTAGACGTAAACGATAGATCTGATGTGCCAATTCTAAAAACTAAAACCACCATTATCAAGCCCACCAAAACTGACTTCCCATATCAAATCGTTAAACCTGATGAAAATCAAAACGGATCTTCATTGGAGTATAAAGCATACAGTCCGACCAAATTGGACCCAATCAAACCAAATTATGAACAAGAACTAGTTCCAAACCTTCAAGATTATGTTCCAATTGTAACTCGTGATTCTACTCCAAACATTGTGGTTTCGCAAAAACCAATTACAGCTACATTAAAAACGTCAGAAGATAATCATAAGGTAGTTGATGAAGGCCACAAACCTCTACTGCAAAATTTTCAAATACCCTTCCAGCCAAGTTTAAAATTACCAGAAAATAGTAATGGATGGTCGGTTGTAAGAAAATCACAAATTGATAATGCTTCTGAGAGAATAGATGAAACAGGTGATGTGGCTGGGTCTACAGAGAAGTTTGATCCAGATAATTTTAAACCGCAATTAGTTGGCGGTTTTATGCCAATAAGTCCACCTTCAGAAGATGCAAAAGAAAAAAAAACAGTTGAACAATCAGAAAGAGCGAAAAGATTTATAAGAGATTAAATAAATATTTATAACGTTTACATCATATCCATTACAGTAAAGTAGGTATTAAAGGTTAAAATGGTTTTTAAATTATTAGAAAGACTCAAATACATATAAACCATACTCATAAGTCAGAAATCAAGTGTAAACTGTTAAATGATCACCCAGCAAGTGAATATTTTTTATTTATGTATATAATGTATAGATAAAAGTAGATACGTTAACTAAAGTAAAAATATAAGTATTTTATAAACTGTGCAATTTAAAATACTTTAAGGAGGTACCTATATTAGTAAGCGTATAAACAATAAACTTGGGAATTGAATAATAACACGGCTACACATCGAACGATCAACTAATAATGTACTAACCAATACGTCGAATATTTATATTAATTTACCTAGTATAATAATTTATCAACAATATTTATTTATAACATATTTCCTAAATATTGTAAAAACCATGTATAATGTATATATATATTTATTTTTATTTTACAAATATTGTAGACATCCTAAAAACAAATAATGAAATAAAGCTCAATAATTATACTATTTTACTTTGTATGTAAATTTAATACTAAGAAGAAGTTGTAAGCTATAATAGTGTTACATAATATTTATATTATAATAATATAATATTACCTAAATCTAAGTATAGTTTTATAATTTGTACACATATATGTTTTATATTTATTTATGTAATATGATAGCAAAAAATATGAATAAAATTGCTTAAAAAATATTATAGATATGGATTTTTTCGTATTTTTTAAAAAAACAATTTATATTTATATGCAGAGTAAATTACAATTTTGGAGAAGAATCAAACATTGGTCAATATGTGTATACTGTATATAGTCATTGATTGTATAATTATTAATGATAATATGATTAGTGTAGGTAACGGACTAAGATATGCTATAGATAGGTAATTGTAATTAAATTGATAGTAAAAATGGTGTCTACAGTCAATACTTTATACCCTTGTCATTAGAATGTGATTAAAAACTTTCTATTAAAATGTTAATAATATTTGTCATGACTTGTCGCGGTCTTGTCTCAGTTTAATATTATAGTATAATAGTATATAAAAGCTGAAGAGCTCACTTTCCAATATAGTAGGCGCCATAGACGTAACTAGGGGAGGGGGGCTTAGGTGGGCTTCATCTCCCCCCCCCCAGAATACCCTAAAACCCTTATATATTTTATTTATAATTTACTTATTGAAAAAATTATAGGACTGAAGGACCCCCTAACTTTAAGGTATAATTACTCCATAATAGGTGTTGAGTCTTGAGTGTACCTACTATGTATATCGTTATAGAGTAGGTGGGTCGCTGTTGTAATGAATACAGAATAGAAAAAAATTTGCAAGTTTTGTTGATAGAACGGTTGTACATGTAAGAGAGCATTGAAACTTGCACCAAAATCATTTATTTAGATTTCTAGTAGCATTAATTTATTCTGAACTAGTAGGTACTGGATATTCGACATAGGTATTCGGGTGTTCTTAAAATGGAGTAAAAACTTCAAGTAAACATTTGGGTGGTCCTAACCTTTATTATTTGTGTTAGAATGGATTAATACTTAATAGTTCATATTTAATAAACTATACGGGTGTTGTTAACTAGGTAGGTATCTACTTGGTTCGGGAAAAACTTAATTATTGAAAACTTCTTATGTATAGGTACCTACCTAATTTACTATTTAAATTTCGTCAGCTTAATTTATAATAATAAGATGTATATAGATAGGTATATTGGTATTTAATATTATACTCTATTCAGAATGAGAACGAACCTTGTCAAGTTTTCGTCCGCGGCAGTCGGTCGCATTGTCAGATTCTTTCTTAGCTGTCAATGCGCGAGGCCTGTGCTTCGGAACAAGCCACGCCTATGCGTTGAAGTTGGAAAGCTCCCAGACCTCTGGGGGTTGTAACTTCATTATCTTTATTGGTATTCATTTCATATGTTTAGCTTGGCTTGTCTTCCACCGACGACGCCAACCCCCGTGTGTTTTACTCAGGCCCGTGTCCTGATCTTCCTGGGGGCACTCACTCCCCCGGTAGTGAGCTCGTCTTCGACCGCTTTATTCAGACATCTCAAAACAAGTTGCTCGACCAGTAAAAATTGAAATTGTTTCGAGTGAACCTTCTTATTAGATTGATGTTGTAACTAATAACTAAGGGTTATGACTTATGAGTGAAAAATACTTCGCAAAAAATTTTCACTTGGAAAAATATATTTTTTAAACCGGTTTTTGGTCACACTCGTGATCAACTAACTAGGCACCTATGTCAGTTGGTTAATCATGGTCATAGCACATTACCACAGATACCTATATAAAAATACATAGAGTAGGTAAATACGCGTAATAGCATATTGTGTGGCAAAGGCGGGAAGTGTGCTATTTCAATCGATGGCCGCATTTCGCCCAAGACTGAAACTGCCTTTTCCCGCACGAGCCACACATACTATTTTTTTGTCACGCCTTCATCGATCACGGCAAAAGGTAATACAAGAGATCTATGCAACATTACGTTTACGACAACAATATTTCATGAAAGAAACGATTTGGTTTAATTTATTTTAAGCGTCACCGCAAGGAGGTTATAATATGATTTTAAGATGTAACCAAAAGTTTATGTTTATTGTATAAGGACCGTGGTATAGATTTCAGTGTCTGTGCAGGATGTGCGCACAGCACTTTTGGGATTTCCACTTTAGCGCCCGGCACTGTTAGGAATTCCCACTTTACCGCCCGCTGGATGCTCAGGGGGGACTAAGGGGGGGGGGGGGTTCTAATGGGTGTCCCACCCCCCTAAGCGTACAATATGTATATGTCAGTTGGCACATTGATACATTAAGTATTTGAGTTGGCACTCGGCAAATTATAATATTTTGACCATAGCATATTTTACCATGTGCTAATCAAATTTGTCGTTTATCATTGACTTAACCTGTAACAGTCGCATCAAACGAAAGATATTTTAGCAAACTAAATTTGATTAAAACACGCCTTAGGTCAACAATTGATGATGAGAGATTAAACTCTGTATTGGGAGTAGAAAAGATATTGTTGACCTTTTGGATATAAATAAAATAGCACATCAATGGTTAATTTTAAAAAAACCGATGTATACAAATTTAGTGTTAAGTTTATTATAAATATAATATTTTTTTGTTGATATAAAAATATTATTTATATTATTAAATTATAATTATAGGTAGTAGGTATAGTAAATATACAACAGTCAACAGTGTTATAAATTTTGTTATTGAAAATATTTTATTCTAATACACTTATCAAGAAATATATACAGTGGATTCCGCTTAATGTGGCCACCGGTTAATATGGGCATCCGCTTATTGTGGGCAAACATGTCTGGTTGGTCCCAATACAAAAGTATTGATTTAACTAATTTCGGTTTTAATGGGCAACCGCTTAATGTGGGCAAACAGGGCTGGTCCCAACGTGCCCACATTAAGTGGAATCCACTGTATAAGGATTAAGAGATAGTAAAATGAAGAACATAATACAATTTTTTTTTTTTAGTTGGCATATTATGAATCAAACCACCCCATGATTTGTCTTTCGGGACGGCCCTGGGGATGCTTTCCAGCCATAGAAATATTAATATGTCTATGTTTTCAACGCTTCAACCACTATCGAAAACCAAACTTTCGGTGCAGGCATGACAAAAAGTATTTTTATAAATCTGTGGGTCATACTGATTGCATACTTGATTAGTGATTATCAATATTTAATTCCAGATCATGATATAAAGAAGATAATATTATATATATCAAAATATAAAATAGATAACTATTATGTAATATTACTATAATTTTCATGAGCACTTAACTAAGTAGAGGGGTTTACTGTGCTTGCTATTACATAGTTTTAAATTTAAATTAGTTTTTTATATCTTTCATTAATATAAAATATTTCAAAAAAAATAAATTTCAGAACCCTAAAAATAATACATTTAAATGAATTGTGGTGGTAATACTAAAGACACAAATAATGGGGATTTATCAGACATTGGCAGGGGGGATATTACCCCTACCTCCTCCAGCACACCACTGACAATGATCTATGAAAAAATATTATTGCGCTAAGAAGTTTATTTTTTTATTAAGTGTCTTTACGTAAGAGTTCTTACGAGTCAAAAATATGATAGCCCATTGCCAATACAAAACACAGCATAGACAAAAGCCTTCGTAGACTCCGAGAGAATATTTATGTATCAAGTATATTTATTCAGTAGCCAATAAGTAAAAAGCAATAATATTTATTATAAGCTAATAATATAGTTAAATAGTTTAATATTGAAATAATAATCATTGGTAACATAGTTTTTTATAAACCTATTAACCATTTGCATATATATCAATACAATATTGGTATCAAAAAATGAGATTAACAAGAAATTCAATAAATAATTTAATAATATGGAATCTAAATAGTAAATAGGTATAAAAGTTAACTAAAATTATCAATAGAGATAGTTTTCCTTGTTTGTAAAATAAACTAATATTATCTGTATCAATTTGCATCAAATAAGCATAAATCCAACTTTAAAGTTATAACACCAGTCTGTACTTCTCTCAACTGCAAATGTTTAGTAAGAGGTCCTCTACTATTTTTAGTTGATTGGATTATCTCTGATACACGGATTTCAGATCGTCCTAAGAATTCTAAAACAAAATACAAATAAATTAAATTAATAAGCAGATTATAATTTAAAAATTAATTATACATAAGAATTCATTCATCTGATTCCTCAAATAGAACTAACAGTAAATTAAAAAACATAATTACCATCAGGAGAGTAATGCCCTTTATTAAACACTGTTACACAAAGAATATCATCTTGAATATCTTTGACAAGGAACTGCATTGATGAATCCCACTTGGGATCAGGAGATTCACTTACTTGTGTACATTGTTTTCGAGATCCCATGCTAACTTCACAGAAAGCAGCTTTTTTACCTAAACATAATTTCAATAATT